TTTATTTGTCTTGCCTATTTATTTTTATTCAAGTATTAATTAAAAGAAAGAATTGCTTTCATTAGTGTCTGAAGAAATGATGAAGCGTGCTCTAGAGAAGTCAAAGCATGTGTTAAACATGATATCATGGTGAGATCATTTCCCCATCAACTCAAATAAATCATATGAATATTATGATTCATGTCTCACTTGATTTGTTCAATAACTTGTAAAGTAGATGTGATCATCATTTATTGACAAAACGCATAAAGATCAGTATACTGGCATCAAGATCTATATAACTGCTCAATTCTGGCGTGAATGGATTCAGATGAAATCGACACATTTCATGATTCACAAATCTTTGTTCAGTTGAGCGAGAGTGCATGAAGATGAATATGACGAAAAGATTGACTGGATAATGATGATGATCAAGTGACTAGTCTCAGGCTATCATTGTTAAACTCTAACATAAATGCTCAAGCTATTTATATTTGAGTACTCCAATTTGCGATTGATTTCGAGTGGTCGAAATGCGTGCGAGGAGTCGAAAAAGAATGTGCAATGAGAAAATGTATCCGAGGGCTCAAAGTCTCGACAGAACGAGGAAAAACATTTTTCTAAGTTTTGATCACTCGTCGTGTCTATCATTAATCTTATTACGTCTGTTTGGGTAGAGGTTGAACAGTCAGGTTCGCAGCAAATTTTTATTCATTATTGTCTACATTATCTAAGATTACATCTATGTTGCGTCGCAAAAATTTAATTAGGCAGCCTGACTGTAATGAAGGAACTCTCACCGAATCTTCCAGACAACCTTATGATCAAAGCTGTCATGCATACTTTCACGAAATAAAGATTACATACCTCATTTGTTGATTGAATGAATGGATCCTTCCGGTTACTTGATACTCTACTGACTCGTTTCACTGAAACTCCACCGATAAATTTTCCAATGTTCGCTTTGTTGTTTTATGATTCCTACAAATATAGTGCAGCTACAAAGACAATGTAGATTTTAGGAAAAAACATTTTTATAGTAATGAGTCATAGCCATTTTCTATTCATAGTTAACAACACATAGTTTAAGAGGTTCTAGTAGTAACTGATTGATATGCTTTTTTGCACGGAATGCGAACGCTTTAGTGCCTCATTTCGGTCATATGCTATAATAATTTTTAAGATAATCGTTTAAAATGAATGTTCATTTTTGAGCCTATATTTCTCGTAGATGTAGAAAACATCAAAGTTAATGAGTCAAACTATGGACACAATAGCGATTCACCATTTCGGGTGACTGACTAGACATAACTAACAAGACTAGAACTATGATGTAAATGTCGGTGTCGGTATCAATATTAATATTCACCTATACACCCACATCTACTATCCGCACATACACGTACACTTACACATTCGTGCCCATAACAATCCCAACCACTCAAACAATCACACTAAAACATATTCTCGCTTTCTGCTACAGGCAATATTCCTAATTTGAATAGTTTTTTTGGGAAACACGAATATTTTTTTTCGATCAATTTTTAGAAAGCCTTGTTATTTACTTTTATAATTGAGTAGGCCAATGTTTGTTGAAACGAATAACGAGAAAATAATCAAACTACTGTGAAAATTAACTGAATATTTAGAGATAGTTAACAAGTATTGGAATTTCTTCTTATTCAAAACATAGTTCCTAACAAGAATAGTCCAAGTAAAATATATAGAAAATCAAAATGGTTTTCGTAGATGATCTTTTTTTCATATCTGAAATTAAATATTTCTTTGAATCTCCGTAGGAAAAGGACGTGGGTGTGAATGTGGATAAAGAGAAGATCTGAATCTTCACTCACAGTCATCCTGACACCCATACTCCTTTCACAAAATGTTTCAAAAACATTTGAAATAAACAATATTCTACTCCGTTGTATATGCTAAATCAGAATACGATTCTACTATTTGTCAAATCGTCATTTTTCCAAATGCAATCTGCTAAACATCAGGCAAAAAAGAAGGACAAAATCATGTAATAGAATGGTGTTTCGCTGTTTACTTCGACCTTGACTGAAACTTTTTTCTCACAATCCGTATAAGCATTTTGTGGAGCACCAAATTCTCTCAGCAGTGTCCAAGGACTGAGAAATAGGAATTCCTAATTTGCAGAGGAATTGTCAGTGTAGTCATGATAATTCCTTGGGGAAATGGGAATTGACCATTATTTCCACCACAGTTCCCTCATTCATGAATGTCAAGATAATGCTTTTTTTGCAATAATTTTCGTACTCATACGTTCATGTGCACAAATTTTTTGATGAAAACGAGCGTAAGAGTAATAAGTACCGTGGATATTGTATTTTTTTAATTTTAGCGTTCAAGGAAATGTCAGGGAACTGAGTAGGAATTCCTATTCCTCAGTCCTTGGACACTCCTCCAGACTTTTGGAAAGTCGATCCATATGGATAATCCAAATAATAGAAATGTGTCCTTGCGAAGTATGCAAAAGAAGAAAAAGCTTTTAATACGCAAATGCATATGATTGATGACATTCTCTAGTAACCACCTGATTCTGACGAGCTATTAAAGAGACTGCGCGCATCGAATTTTCAAAGAACTAAGTATCTCTTGTATAGAATAGAAGCATTTGTTTCTCCTCACCTAATGTTACTAAAATGATACGCTCTGTATGAAAATGCAGATCGTAGATCCAAAATCGGACCCAAAGCTCGCTTTTGTGTCCTCGGTAAGGCTCAAGTCTAGTTTTCATATAATTCATGTATCTCTAGAGTATAGCGTCATTCTTGAGCAGACAGTCTATTCATCTATTGAGTTTGTCTGAATTTCGAAGATCTTATTCGATTCATTTATCATGCTTTTGAAAATAACATTCAACATTGTTTATTTATTGTAAACTAGGATAGATATAAATATATATATATTCGAATTGAAAGCAACATCAGGCCTGCATGGTGCTTCTTGATACACTCTTGAAAATTATGATTAATATTCTCTTGCTCTTGTAAGGCTACCATCAGAATAATTAAAAAAAATACATGATGCTAAGAAGAAACGAAAAAATAAACCTTTAAAATGGATCATTAACACAAGCAGTAGAAGAAGAAAGAAAAACAAAGAGACGGGATGGATGCAATTTCATCATGTTTTTTATTGATGTAGTGCTGATTTCACTCAACTCAGCGCACTCACATGAAAAGATGCTTTTTGTGTCTTATACGCTTCATCAAGATCGAAATAGAACGCAGCTATATACACTTACGATACAGAAAATGGAGAATTACAATGCTAATGACGTCCAAAAAAAATTTACAAAATATTCTACACAAAATCACAAAACAATGTAGGTGTGCATGTGCGTGTCGGCTTGGGTCGCAGTGGGCAATCAGGTGGACATGAACGAAAGTATTCCTTTCCAAAGTTCAAATATTAGAATAAATGCATTTATGATTAGTCTATCTTGCCTTGAAATAAAACTTTCAGAAATTCAGCACAACGCGGGAGAACTCATTTTTATAAATTTGCTCATAAATCACTATATATAAAGAAAGTTCATTCTCCGACCAACTTAACGGAAATATTTAAAAAGAAAAACTATCGGAAACGAATGACTGCTCTACACTGTAAACTAGAAAATAAGTTATAGAGTTTAGTCAAAGATATTCTAGGAATACCTATATGAATTCACCGATGAATTTTAAATTCTTCGAAAATAAGATATTTGAAATATTAAGAATAAGAAATTTGATTTTCTAGTTAGAAAATCGCAAGTGAATTCATGTAGGCATTCCTAGAATTTCGGATTCTATTCAGCAATTTGAGTATTTTTTAAAAACCCGAAAATCGAATTTTATTTTCATGTATAAACCTAAAATTTATATAATAACAAATAAATAATTTTAATTGAAATTGAAATAATATTATAAATAATTAAGTCACATAAATGCACCAAATAACATGAATAAATAATTTGAATTTAAATCGAATAATATTGTAAACATTTGATTCATATATATGCATCAAAATAACATAAATAGATAATTTAAATTTGAATTTATATAATATTATAGACATGTAAGTCATAAAAATGCACCAAATAACAAATAAATAATTTTAATTTAAATACGTACTAAACGAACTGACTTACAGAGCAACTTTAAAAATACAAGTTATCAACTCACTAGTTAGCTGCTAAAGAATATAATGAATGAAAAACACTATTGGCCGGCTTATATACGTGAATGAACAATGGCTTGATAGCGATCATTGTTCAAATGATTTTTTCAAATCGTCATTGATTTTCGTGTGTTATTAAAATCAATGTTGATGTTTTACTTTGTAGAAAATGATTTTTTTCGAAAATCAAATTCAATCTTTGTAAATTGGAAAATCAAGCATTTTTGAGGTACGGAAAATTCGTCGAATGATCCATAAAGCCTCAAAAATACTTCAGATTATTTAAGATCGATTTTCTAAATAGTAGAATTTAAAAAGAATTTACAGTGTATCCACACACTAGCTGGCATAATAACGAGTGTGGTTGAAGGGGTGTGCGTATTCTCAAGAAGTCTCTCTCAACCCATTTTCATCGCTTGCTCGAGAAACGTTCGATTCTTTTAGACAGTTACTCCATGTGAACCCATTTTCATCCCTTGCTCGAGAAACATTCGATTCTTTTAGATAATCATCCCACGTCAATCCGTTTTCATCAAAACAGAGCATGCAGAAACTATAGATAAAAAATTATTTACTCAAAATAAAATTTAATCAATCACCAACGTCCTCATGTCCCCATTGCGAAAAAAATACAAATTCATCGTAGAAAAAAAAAGTCCCCATGTCCCCATCATCGAAAAAAATACAAATTCATTGTAGGAAAAAGAATTACTCCTATATAAAATTTCATCAATCATTAATATTCCCATATCCCCATCATCAAAAAAATTACTAATTTATTATCACAAAAAAATACTAAGCGTCTTATATATTTGTATTATAAATTTGTCTCCACATTCAACAATTGAATAGATTAACTACATTAAGGTACGTATACTAAAAGTGATATTTACCAAATTCATTGAAATTTATATTAACTCTCCTACTGTTGATGACCGCATTTATCAGCTAGTTAAAAACTGTCAATGGTCGAAAATTCTACAATTTTACTTCATATTATTAAATAAAGATATTTCATTATTACTGCATTACTTATTAGACATAAAAATACTTTGTGGTTTTTTCTCAAGTTTCATTTATATTAGACTTTATTTCTCTCAAAAATACTAGTTGCACACAAATCAGCTTATTTTGGTAAAAAACAAACTGCTACAATGAATTCGATAGTTTAACTAATCATCGATTTCCGTCTGTCGACAATTTAATGGGTTACTCGTTTTGTCTTTCGTTCTGTTCGCCAATGAAGAAAAAGAATAAATTACATGAAAGAACATAGGTAATGAAGCACATGTGTTTGCAATTTCTATCGCATCAACATTAATCGACGTCGCGCAAGTGTGACTTATTTTCTTCAATATCAAAAAACAAAACAAAAACAAAATTGCCCTTGACTGTGCACTAGTAATTGCCAATGATGGAAAAAAGAGATATGACTATTTCATATAACATAAGCGAGAGAAAATCATTCATATTTTTGTTTTCCATAAATGTTTTTGTGCAGTTAGATGTCAGCTAAAGAAAGATTTCAAAATGAAAATCATATTAGATAACTATCGAAAGAAATATAAAGCTCTATATTCAATATATTTTGAAATAATGTATGTAATTAATCAAATTATTTCAAAAAAATGATATTGAATAATACGATATTCCTTTATTTCATATATTTGTTTAAGATCAAGTCTATAATGACTTCAAATTTAGTTAAAGGTCATATTCTTTCCGGACTTTTTGGTTTTTCTCTCGGATTCTTAACCTTATGGTTAACCTCTCGGTGGCGTCAACAAAAAGAAAAAAAACGCAAATCAAATCCATCGACAACTGTTACTGAACAAGTTGAATCATTACATTGGAATCCATTAGATGAACGACGTGGTTTAGGTGATCTTATAACAAAAGTCAATCATATAGGAATAACTGTATCAGATGTTGGTAAATCATTGCATTTCTACGTTGATATATTAGGATTACAACAAATTCGTCGCCCTAATTTTGATCGTCACGGTGCTTGGTTAACAATGGGTAATGTTGAACTTCATCTTATCAAAGGTATACCTGCGATTCCAGTAGTTGATAATCTCCAAGTTGCACATATAGCATTTGAAACAAAAAATATTGATGAAGTTTTATTTAAATTACGTCAATTAAATATTGATGTTCGTCAAAATTTATCAATAACTAATGCACAAAAAGCAGCATTAAAAGATTCTGATTCAAAATCAAAACCAATAATTACTCAATATTTTTTTACTGATCCTGATGGATATTTTTGGGAATTATGTAATTGTGAAATTCTTACAGAATTTGCTCTTAATAAAAATCAAAAAATTAAAGAAGTTGAATATCGTGAAGATATTCCAAGTGGTGTTGTATTCGACGTTGCTCGAGTAGCAAAACGTTGGACGGGTGGAAGTAAAAAAGGTCTAGCAGAACAATTTTATGATATATTAAAAGATATACCTCGAGCAACTGAAGTTGACGAAGCGAAATTTAATAATCTTATTAAACGACGTACTATATATGGTGATATTATGCAAGGATTTACTGATGAAGATATTAGAGAGGCTTTACTTATAACAAATAATTCTGTTCCATTAGCTGTCCGTATTTTAACCCAAATACGTGGTGAAAATAAATTTTATCAGCCACCTGCATTTCTCGAGAACGGAGAATTAACTACGCCAAAATCATTTTTTATAGATAAAAACAAGTTAAAATAACCATTAAAACTATTCCAAATTCTCAATTTCTATTGGATTTTTTTCATTTTTTTGCAAATTAAGTCTTAATAAACCATAAAAAAGGAATATACAGTCGCGGCAAAAATTATCCGTACGATTTTTTTTGATCAAACTTAGTCAAATATAGACTTTTTGAGTTTTTTTGGGATATCAAAAGAATCATCACGTCACCTAGTATTTACAATAAAAAAAACCAATATTATTGACTGAATCTATATGAAATGAGAAGTCAATCTCTGAAAATCATGCATGTTTTAAACGCAAAAGTTATTCATACGATTTTGATAACATTTATATTTTTCGTTCTTCATTACTTCAAAAACTTAATTATGAAGTCGTTAAATACAGGAAAGAACAAGTGAGATGCTCATAGTTTTTCCTTCGTGATACTATTCTACCGAGTAAACAGAATTCGTTATTTATAAACTGCGGATCTTTATTTTGAAACACCTTTATGAAGAATTCGCAAATTGGACTTTTTTTTTCAAAATAGTACCTTAGACGTGTGTAATAACGAGAATAGCATATATTTTCTGTTATTATCTGATAGTTATAATAAAGATGTTTAGCAGTCTATTTGAATGACGATACTTTATTATTAAATAGCAAAAAGAACGGTTATATCGTTCAAAAATATCATTTGACATTTCATAACACAAAACCATATTAATATCGTGTTGCTCGTCCTTTCTGTTTGGTGCATTCTTGTGAGCGATTTCCAATTAAGCCGATCAGTTTCTTCTCAACGTCACATCCAATCGAATCTCAAATCTGTTGAATCTTCTGTTTCAACTCCTTAAGGTTTTTTGTTGGCTCTTTTTAAAGTTCTCTCTCGATATGAACACAGAGATGTTCTATTGGATTCAAATCGGGAGAACTCAAAGACCATGGTAAACACTCAATATCCTTCGAGTTAAGCCATTCTGCCACTATCGAAGCCTTACATTTCGGATCGTTATCCATTTGTAAAATTTTTTGACATATCTAATCGTTTGACAGATGGAAGTAAATGTTTTGACAAGATGTCCTTAAATACTTCGGCTGTCGTTGTTTCTTCAATGAAGACAAAATCATCTAACTCTTTCCTACTCATACATCTCCTGACTTTCAAATTCGTACCACCTTGTTGCACCCTTGGGACTAAGCATTCAGACAAAGATGTGGATGTAGGTGTGGATAAGGTGGTGTGTATGGTGTAGATATGGGTAAAAAGAATGTCAAAACTGATGCCCACACTCACATCTACTCCCACACCTGTAGTGTTACAAAAATAAATTACAAATATGTTATTTGTTCCTTCCTGTATCCAACAACTTCATAATTAAGTTTTTTGAAGTAATGAAGAACGAAAAACATAACTGTTATCAAAATCGTACGGATAATTTTTGCGTCTAAAACATGCATGATTTTCAGAGATTGACATCTCATTTCATGTAGATTCAGTCAATAATATTGGTTTTTTTTATTGTAAATACTAGGTGACGTGATGATTCTTTTGATATCCCAAAAAAACTCAAAAAGTCTATATTTGACTAAGTTTGATCAAAAAAGAAATTATACGGATAATTTTTGCAGCAACTATATACATATATATACTAAAAAAAAATTACCTTATCATTGATGAAGAAGAAAAAGATGTATGTTCAAATACAAAATATGACTCATCTTTATTTCACTCATCGTTAAATCTATGATGAAAAAGAGAAGTGACTAATAACTATGATGGCAGATATCATTTTTACCTTGTCTTGTTGTAAAACGAATACTTTATTATTGTAAGTACTTCTCTTATCATTGAAATTTATTACTAAAGAAGACAAATGACTTTTATTTGTTTACGTGTCATTTGAAAATGTGACAAATGACGAAGGAAGGAAACTCTAGGAATACGAAAAAGAAATGTTAAATGAAAAACTTCTTCTACTCTTTTGAAACAGATCAATAAATCTGTTCGATCTAATTTAGAGTGAGTGAGAGCATTTTTTTTAAAGTTTTCCAACAAATAGTAATTGACATATCCCATTAGTATTTGTAGTGCACGTTAAATATGGATAAAAAAAAAAAGAAAAGTAAAATTCATCGACATTATTAAAAAATTCATTCGATGATATTCTCATTTAATTGCAATTGATGCTATCTTTGCTTTTTCATGCCTTAACTATTGTCTTCAATATCTGACTTTATCTTCCGACAACATGCCATAATAAAGTAGCAATAATTACAACTCTATGACGATAACGATACAGCTAGACAGATTGAATACTTTTTTCAGACGTATCCTTTCGTTAAATGTTCTCTTGAAGTCAAATCGTTATCCCTTTTTGAATATTAACCTTCGCAGTCTAAAAACAAATTAATAATTCAACTTCGATTTCTTAAAAGTCTGAGCTTATTAAAGATTGAGGATTTATATGTTGAACAAAAATATCTTCATTCCATCTTCTAAATCTCATAAAATTTGCTGTTACTTCTTGTACAACTATTGGTTAAATGAAGTTAAAATCCTTAAAAGGAAAGTTTAATAATTTCTCTTTTAGAACTTTTCTAAATTTTAAAATTTTAAAATACTACAATAAATTGTTAGTTGAAAGAAAGACTCTTCATGTAACCATCAGTATTTAAACATCTGAAGATCATCGTTGAAAACGAGGAACACATCCAATTAGTGAGTATGAAAACAATTAATCTGTTCATCACTTCTATTGTTTGAAAAACTCCAATTTTGTTGCAATTCAAATTTTGATCACATTCAGTCAATCAAGTTGAAGAAGTAATACCATCATTCTATGTAGATGAAAAAAATTTGTTTGTTGATTGTGATACGTTTCACGAATATGAAGACTCAATAACTCTTTATACTCTATCATCTCCATTTGAAAGATTTGCGATATATAGAAGATCTCTACTTAAAAATATTCCAATTTATTTACGTGGTGGTAACAATGATCCGAATAATAACGATGATACTGACTTTTGACGTTGATGTTCAATAGTTAGAATGTTGCGACTGATAAATGGGGTGCTTCTGATACTGAGACATAACGTCTATGTATAGAACTTTTAGAAGTTTTCAATAAAACTTTATTGAACCTTAATGAGCAAACAATTTACCAGCTTTTTTTTTATTTTGAAAGTCGCCGACTGAGATCCTTTTCATATCTTTCAATTGTATCATCAATTATTTTCTGGCATTCTGTATTGGTGTGCGACGATGAATAGTATGTAAAGGATTTTTTATTACATATACAAAGATGTAAAAATAAAAGTTGGAAAACTTCAGAAAAGCATGTAATCTAATATTTTTTTAATAAATGAATTAATCAATCCGTTGTTGTTCATGTCGTCAGCCTAATATCACAATACCGTATAGATTGTTGAAATTCTAATATACGGGTAATGCGAAACTGCAGCAAGTGTGGGTGTGAGTGTGGATGTGGATCTTCTCTTTAACAGTACCAACACCCACACCTACTCACGTCCACACCCCACACCCCACACTCACACCAACCTACATCCACAGCCACAGCCACACTCTTTACAAACTATATTTAGGATTTTAGTATTGCATCTAACTTGACTAAAGGTAATCATAGAATAGATATGAACACACAATGTGATCATACATATATTCTCTTCTAGACAACTGAATAGATTTTATCGTTTTCTGGTGCGCTTTTTCATCTGTAGTCGAATGCGTATCTGTTCGTATGTTTCTTGGCTTAGTGTGACATTGACAAGTGTAAATAATTTATAAAAAGTCACTCCAAGAAGTCGATATTGAATCGTATTGATGCCATCAAGTTTAAAGTCGTATTGTGAACGAAGTATTTTGAATCGATGAGGATTCGCTGGAGCTGATATGTGCTCATTTGAACGGATCATTTTGTATCGAGCAATCTCAATAGGATATCTTGTTATTGGTTTTTTCAACTTATGGACAACACGTGAATACATATCATCATCTTCGCCACCCCAACCCCAATAAACATTCGAATAGCCATTAGTGCCAAGAAAATCATCGGTCTTAAAAGCTGTAACACCACCGAAGAATGTCGAATAAACTAATTTGTAGTCAAATTTATCCATCGCTACTGACCTATATAAGAAATAAAATCAATAATAACCAATTGAAAGATTCTATCTTAGTTATTTACATATGTCGAGGTTGATCGGCACACGTATAAATATTTCTTCTATCTTCTGGTAGTAAATCAACATCATGAAATATAAAGCAAGTAAATGGATAATACTTTTTGGCTTCAATAAAGCCTATGTTGAATAATGCTCCTCGATTAAATAGTTCTTGTCCATGTTGATTCACAACAAATATCGTGTAGTCCAGTTGTTGCTGTTGAAGAAATGGATGTAGATTGTCGAGAAGTATTTTAAAATGTTGTTCACGATTTCGATAACAAATAATAATAGCAATGCGTTGCTCAGGTTGACATCTTGATGGAAACCAGTGACCACCCGGACGAATATCAGAACCATATTGAGCTTCAAGAACGTCATATGGATGCAATATTCGACGAATGAATACGCTGTAGTTCGACGATATATCGTTAGTATTAGTTGTGAGCAGAGTTGAACAGTTGGGCAATAGACGATATGTGTTCAAATCAGGCAAAGAGAAGTTCACATGAGAAAAATAAGAGGCATTGAAAAATGGTTCTTGACTCTCACTTTCTTTTTCTAATATGATATAGTAAACGATTTGCATAAAAATAATTGAGCAGATAACTTCATAGACAATAGTTCGATTCCGAACCATAATCAATCATGAGATTATTAAGGCTTGATGTCTGAAACATATAAATGTGTAACTCATCCAAATCATGCAGAACATGGAAATGACATTCATCGTGTATAACTTACACTCGATCATCATAAAACGATTACTTGGGATTGAGTTTATTAAAATCTCTCAAAAGATCAAGTCTCGTCTAGTGATGCATCAAATTCTAAAAATTTGACACACAGACTGCAGATTTTCTGTTTGAAAATCCGTCGAACCCAGTCAAATCTTTGTGTCATTCATGACTAGTTTTACTTATTCTGTCGTATATAGTCGTTAGATTTTGACCGGTTTTTAAAAAAGTTCAAAGGTTTGACAGGACTTGACTGCAACTACCTGTTTTTGGCCTTTCGTTTGTTAAATCCTGTTAAACCCTAGAATTTTTTTTTTAACTACTCGAAATCTAATGTCCCTATCAGATAGAGTAAGTAAAATTGATTACAAATGAGGGTGTGGGTGTGTGGGTGTTAACTAGAGTTTTGCATATAAGAGAGATAAATTAAAACATACTTGATAGTTGAATATTTTTATATATATTATGAGAAGCTTGAAATCGTCCTGTAATATGTCTTGGAACATGTTAAAATGAGCTTCCAAGTTTTTCATATTCTTTGACGTTCTGTTTAAAACCTAAACATCTCGATATTTATAGCATGTGTTGCAATCCATGTTAGCTCTTATTACAGAAATTATTTACTTCCTCTGACATTATTTGTTTCAGGCGAAACTTAGAAAGATTGTGCAATTCGATGTATTTTTACGAGCAAAAAATTTATAAAAGTATGAAACAAATCATTTTATACCTTTGCACACAAGTCTTTTTGTCTGTTGTCTTTTTATACTATCATACTTTGCATCAAATTTATTACTAAATAAAGATATGACAGGAGAGTTTTATTACAGTATGATTTGTACATCAAAATGAAATAAAACTTTCATGTCATATCTCTACTCAGTAATAAATTCAATGCAAAGTTTGATAGCATAAAAAGACAGAGAAAAAAAAAATTTTGTCCGGAGGCGTATGTCTTATAAGGGAACTTATGCATGATTTTTTCATAAATTTAATTCTCAAGGAATGTTTAAAGAACCGATTTTAAAATGAAATGATCAATATAAATCTGAAGTTGTTGTACGTTTCTTGTTTATTTATCTATTCCAAACTTGATGGACTAGAGACATGAGTGATCACTGTATAAAAGTTGCTAACAAATTTTGACAAATAGTCACATTTAAGACACTATACCTCAACAAGGGTTTAAGTGCCCATCCTTGCGCATCCACTGAAGAGGGTGTGGATGTGGGTGTAAGTGTGGGTATGGGTGTGGGGCATGGATATAGGTTTGGTTGAAAGGAACATTCACCTGCACACCCACACACGCCATCCTCACGCTCACACCCACACCCACATCCTGATATTGAGAATGGCGGTGGATGAGAATGTATAATAGAAATTATTTTAGTTTCTTCTTGTTTTTAAGAATTTCTTCTAAGTTTTAATTGAAGTAATTTTTGATAATATATTTGCATAAATCTATATGATATGTTATCTTTATTCATCGAATAAATTATTTTTAAATAAAAATAAATAATAAACGAGGTCAATTGATTTCTTCATTAAATACAATTTTATATTATTCAAATTTTGCCATAAGTTCTTCTCTTATTCACAGGCTTCATTTTATATTTATTCATGTATATCAGCACGTTTTCATATCTTAATGTTGATAATGCAAACTGATATCATGTGTTTTTCTTTAGGCAACGTCATTTTTTATGTGCAAACAAAAGATAAAAATTATTGCAAAAATATCAGTTGTCTGTGTAAAAATAAATGTAAAAAGAAGTGATGTCATAAAAAAAGCGAACATGTGATTAACTATTACGTTTTTTTCATAACTTTGTGTGCACTTGTTATTTTTTGCTCAATCATCAATTCTGAGATGGGCTTCAGAAGAAGATTTTTGTAGTATTTTAATACATTAATCCGAACCGATTCTTAACGAGCATAAGTCTGATTATGTTTAAAATAAAATTTGTATATTCAAGTTTATTCGAAACAATGAATAGCATGCCATAACCGGATGTCATATGGATCGATTCAACTAGTTGACAGAAACTAACAAAAAATTTATGATAGAAAATAAGCATAAGTTTTTTTTACGTAACGTTGTTGGAGTAATCGGTTCATTAAATGCTAAAATCGAATACCAACTTTCCTTATGTCTCCCCTCAGCTTTTGTTTTTTTTGCTCTAATGCAACTGTAAGTATAAATGGAAGAGAAAGAAAATACTTTGCCTTCTCTACACTTTTTTCGTTTAGGCGCATTCATTGCATTCAAAACACGTGAGCTATCGCTTAATCGTAACTCATAGACACATCTTTTCAGTGAGTCATGTGACATTATTCATCTCCATTTGTAAAATTTCACAAAATTACAATGTTGCTACAAGTTTCATCAACAATTGTTTTGGAGCAATTACATGAGTAACACCATGAGATAAAAGAAATTTATTACTACCGAACATTCACCGTCTTCACTTATATTGATTTAATTGCATCCGCATTTGTGTAACGAAGGCTTGCGTGTGAGTGAGAGTATATCTTGTGTAGAAACACATAAAAGTGTCCTGATATTCATCTTAAGTAAGAGAAAACACTTCAACGATTAAATGAAATGACAAATTATAAGTGGGAGATAAATCATTTGAGATTATATATAAGAAAAACAATAGAAAGATTTTAATGTTGCAGAGGCGAGATATCCAATATATAAGTATCAGTAGCAACAACAAGGGAAGTAAATTATTCAAAATCAGCCGAAAATCATCTAAAATCAATTGCTATACAATGATTTCTAGTACCTTTTCCTACCAGAACCCAATGAATATTTGTTTTGCTACTTGTACTCTCATTATACAATTCGATTGTGCTTGTAAGCCAGATCCCTAGCTTTAGAAATCGTTGTCCGTAAAAGTTAGATAGACGCACATATCGAAATGTCTACTACAGTCGGTGAACCGGGATAGAGAATAGTGTTCACTTTTCTCGCCATCTACTTCAACACTCATTGCCAATCATGTTTCGCAATACTCCCATTTTCTGTATAATTTCCGTCCAATTATTTTTTTCATGAAATCGCGCTTATTTTCGCAGTGAACGTACCAAAATAGGTGTTAGTCATCGACCGACAACATTACTGTACAGTTTGTATTTAGAAGAATAGGAACATGAAGCAAATAAACTCTTTAACTATTACGATAATGGTTTTATTAAGTAAGTGTTTTTGTTACTTCGATTTTCTCTCTCATTACTTGCAAAATTACTTTAAGCTTATTACAAAAATTCGGCCAACACTCAACAATCACTCGGTGTGTGCTACGCATTTGGTGATCGTCATTTGATTCCATTCGCTGAACAACCTGGTGCACATCATGCGCAGTACTGGTGTCAACGGGAAGGAGATCAAATACTGATTTCTAACGAGTATGTATATGGAACGTTTAGCATAACAACGAATCCAAACTGGAATGAGAAAGTAATATTGGTTTTCTTCAATCTTGCACAAAAACAATATTGAATATTCTCTTCCTGTTCTAGTTTCAATTCGAGTTCTACGATGAATTAGGAGAGATAATTTGTGTTGTCACCTCCAAAAGTCTTTACTGTGACAATGCAGCTGGACGTATGTCATGCTCGTGAACTCGATACCACTAAAATATTAAGTACTATGTTCCTTTTTTTGTTTTTAATAGGTATTAAAATTGATAGTTCACGTATCTCACTTGATGTTTATTATCAATATTCAGCAACAGAAGATCTGCAAATTCATATTACTAGTTATGTAAGAACAATTCTATTGTTTTAACCAATTCTATTATTAAATACTTACTAGAACATTAGTGGCGGTAGAACTGTTCATGACATTCAAATTATGCAACATTATCGACTGATTCGCCATTCGTCTGGTCTGTGTGTGACAACTGACCATAGTTGTCATCTTGAGAACAGTGTGGGTGGTAGTAAAAGACGAACTTTTACAGCCACACTAGCAGCACAATTATGCGGTATCTTTCTGCACAAAGCGTACGAAAAGCTCAAGAAGCTTGTTCTTCCAGTTTCATCTACGTCTGTGAGTCATGCTAAAGCCGCTTGCATCAAGGACTTACGAGTGTCTAATGATAAAGATGTAAGTGATTGTTCTGAAATCATAAACACATTCGTCTCTAAGCTTTTTAAAATATAGTTTGCTACAAGTACGATCATATTTCTACTTCGTGATGGACTTTATAGAAAGACAATAAACAATACACTGTACGAAAGACAAACTAAACATATTCTGCAAGCCATTGCACAAGCGGCTAGTAGTGCACATCAAGAAGCAATGAGCCTGATCACAAACTCTACGACAAACCTTGCATAACTAGACATTATTCAATTTTTCTAAATTCAAATTTTTATTTTGCTACACTATATATTTATTCACATGAATATTAGTGTTTTCTCAATTTATGTATCCGATTGATTAATAAAAAAACCAGAGCGGATCGCGCGTGTATACCGAGTTATTAACACCAAATGAGACAGTAGAAACAAGTATTTACTACAGCAGATTATAAAGTATGAGAATATTGTACATAAGGTATTTTGTCAACCAGTTATAGGATTTGCATCCGAACAATAGCGTGAACATCGTCAATTTGGCACTTAAAGTGGACATCGTTTCCGAAGAAATCTATCAAATGATGAAGAGTCTCTGGTATGAGTATGGGTGTGACCAAAGCGAGAACCTACACTTTGTCAATGGGCATATTATCTTATGTGATATCTTTTCTTTCTCACTGTGTTGCTATACAATTAATGACATGTAGTGTTCATAATCGCGTTACTGTTACGTTTATCTATGCATGATTGAACCTTCTTCTTTCTCTGCCGTAATGAACTTCTCATTCTATATCATCATTCACTCGTATATTATATGTATTGTCCTCACCTATCTATTCATACACTATGTCCTTACTCTATTGTTCTTCTATATGTGTTCTCTCGCTGGCCTCATCACTTTTTTATTCTTACGTTGTTCTCTTCTTGACCTCATCTTCTTTCTTTTCATCCTCTCTTATTCTACTCGCGTATATAAGCGTGTGCTTTATATGTAAATGACACGATTGTATAATATGAGGCAATGGAATCAAGTGTGTCACCAATCACACTAACATCCTCTATATTATTGATCGTCGTAAGACGATTATATGATATGAAGGAATAGAATAAAATATAACTCCATCAACACTAACATTCCTTCTATCATTTTTCGTCACATACACCCACCCACACCTTCACTAACGACTGAAGTTTTTTGAAATGGTTATTTCCTGACATTATGTTAAGCAAGATGCTCATTGCCACAGAGATTTATATAATCATGATTCTCTGCTTAAAATTACCCTGTCAACGATTGAAAAACTCTGACTAAATCAAATCAGTTAAAGGTTTCTTTGAGACCCTAACTCAAGCAATGACGATCACTGATTTTTGTTGTTTTTGCATCGCAATGGCAGGTACATTGAAGTTAGAAAAATTATACATGCGTCATGAAATTAAAGGAAAAAGATAAAGGAATGATTACCTTTTTGTATTATATATCTACGCCGATATGTTGGAAATAGAGAACAAGACAAAACGGACATTTTCTTTTCTTTTGCAGGATGAGTATGGATTTATATGAAGACCATGTCTTCATTTACACTAACACCAACACTCACATCTCACGGCCATACCCACAACCCCATCTGCACCCGCACCCATAGCTACCCTAGGAAAAATAAAAAGATGACTGGAAAGAGGAGAGAAATGTTTATCATTTTGAGTAATTCATATACTTCTCCCAGAGAGAAAATAGAAAATCCACACGAATAATGATAACTTTCATAGGAAAAATGATACAGAAAAAGGGAAATAGTGGCAATCGATAAGAAAATAATGTTAAGATATTTATGTAATAGATCTAGTTTATCAGTCGAAAACGAAAGTGCATACAAATATGAAGTCTAATGTAGGAGTTTTGCTTCGAAAATTCTGGCTAAGGGTCTACATGTTAAAAAATGATATGAGGTTTACTATCGGATTGTTTTTTTTTTCAAATATCTCAGTTTATGCTGTCGCCATAATAATGAGAATGCACTTGAATGAGGTAGATTTCTATCTTTATCAAGGTTGTGAAACATGAAGACTCGTTTACGTGTTTCGGTAAGATGATTCTATATTTTATTCATTCATGTAAATTGTGGTCATTTTCTTTTTTGTATATGTTTATCTGACTGCGAGGTGTTTGGAGATAAATCTTGTTCATATTGGATTTTATTTAGACAGAATAAGTATAATTTGTAATGCAGAGAAATATCAGAAGGGTGTTATAATAATGGAATTTATAGTGATGAAGACTAGAACGCGGGACGGCAGAATGAATATGATCTGAGATAGTATGAATGTACACATAGCCGGAAGAAGAAAATAAGATCAGAACACTTTTACTCAAGGAGGAAAAAGCTGATTTAAATCAGCTGTAAACTCATTTTAAATCACGAAACTCGCTTTAACTCATTTTAAATCACAAAAATCACTTAAAGTCATTTGTAACTCGCTATAAATCGGAAAATAGAGAGCTGTAAGTTTATGATTTAAAATGAGTTTCTGTGAGTTTTATGATTTAAAATGAGTTTATGTGAGTTTCGTGATTTAAAATGAGTTTAAAGCCGATTTAAATCAGCTTTAAACTCATTTTAAATCACAAAAACTCATTTTAACTCAGAAAATTCACATAAACTCATTTTAAATCATGTAACTCAGATAAACTCATTTTAAATCACAAAACTCACATAAACTCATTTTAAATCATAAAACTCACATAAACTCACATAAACTCACATAAACTCATTTTAAATCACAAACTCACAATTTGCTTTTTCCCCTTGCTTTTACTACATGCTGTGATCATATGTATGCGATATGCTGATATTTAATTATGCATATGTATAGGTGTACATTGATATCATGTGTATATGAAGAGAAAGGAAAGAAAAATCATTTTTGACACGCACAGCATTTTTCTGCTTGAAATAAACATTTTTGTCACCGATCGAAAATTTGTTCACAGCTCTTATTAATAATCAAAAATAATTCTGATTTTCATAGGAATATTTTTCACTAGATGAGCATTAAATTCCAAGACCATAATAATGCTTAACAAGGTGTTTTTCCTTTTCTTTGTTGCTTTTTTGTTTGTTTCTCGTAATTTTATGTATTTTTGCGTTACCTTTATATCGGAAGGTATTCAGGCATTTTTTTCTCTCTTTCTTCTCTGTCTGTCTACTCGGTTGTTTTCTGCGTAGTATGAAACAGAGTAAAAAAAAGTGTTTTTACGCTTCAATGAAGTCATACATCAAGTGAACGAAAAAAAATCATAGTGAATAAATAGTATTACTGTTGATTTTACGTCACCTCGTCTTTTCAAAGTCACTTCTCTTCTGTTTAACTCAACGCATGGCTATCCTAATTAAATCTTATTTACTTAGTCGCTTTACGACTCTCGTACCATCTTTGAACGTCCCGAAGAGCCCTATCACACTCCTTCGTAGCCTTCATTCTCAACAGATTACTTTTTTTCTTGTGGGCTT